GCAATACAATTAGAATCCGCCTTCCCCCAAGAAATAAAAAAGTATGAAAAGAATTAGACTCTATCGACCATAGGTCAATGGCCCTCTTGAGTCTTGACCTAATCTACAACTACCATCTATGTATACGCTGGCTGATGCTTTTATTTATACATAATTTTTTTTTTTTTTTTCAAAAAAACTTATGCATGGCATGAGATGCCATCGAAGACCATCACGCATGTAGTAATAACTTAAATCCTTTTGCCATCCGCAAATAAGTAGATAATAACTGTATAGAAAGGTGGTTCGCAGTTAAACAATAAAGGGAAGAAAAAGAAGCGAAGATCTAGGACTGACCAATGGAAATATGACCGTGTGAAAACGAAATTCAAGACGAAAACGACTCTTCATCCCCTGCAAAATCAATGTGGGTTCGAAGAGGAGATCACGCGGTTGAGTCTTCTTTGAAGCTTAATACATACATATGTGATCATCATCATGATCATGTATCATCCATCTGCACTGCGTGCTTCTGCAACTTGTACGTACAGCTAGCTGCTTATCTTTATTGGTTTTTGTTCTCTTCTGCCCGCTTTAGTTCTCCTCTCTTAACTACCGACATATCTTTTTCACAAACTCATTACTTACAGTTTTTAGCATACCCCAACTTCAAATTGCCAATCTAAAGGTCATGGCCACACACACACACACGCACACACACACACACACACGTATGTATGTATTTATGTATGGTCATAAGTTAAAATTTTTAAAATTATGATTTTTTAGGCTTTTTAATTTAGAAAAGAAACAAAGATGTAAGCCCAAAATATCAGACAAAAAAAATATTAGTGCCCAATAAGAAGTGCCCTCCACCCATATGGCTTTAGATCCTTCATGTTTCATGCAGAAATGGAATTGAGAGGTGTATTTTGATGGATTGCAAGAGTAAGTCTAAAACTTAAAAAATTTTATTTTACCCCTCAAAATGTTTTAAAATTTCATTTAAAAGAGACTGAAACCGGACGTGACTAAATCAGTTTTTCAACCATCCATGGACAAGAACAGTATTAGTTAATAATGGGGAACAAAATGAAGGTCTCCATTTCTTAGGGTTCAAATCCCATATACATGGAAGTATGCAAATGAACAGGACTCGCTCTTTAAATTTCTCTCACCAGATCTGAATGTGATCGTGTACGGCCTGCTACATACACAAGAGTTCGCTGAAGTTTCATGTAATGGTAGGTGTCTTTAGTGAAACAGACGTGGGATTGAGTTGCATGAAAAGGGATATTGAGAAGCGTGAGTTTGTATGTATTGAGATAAACAGACGTGTCTGTGACGATGGGTATGCCTGCACTGAAAAGGGATGTATCACACTCAAATTTAAGAAGAGAAATAAAATTAATATCACTATCAGATATATATAACCTAGAGGATAGCTGTGTGATGATCAGAGGGGAGGGGGAGGATATAGGTCGGGTATCGGAGAAAGCAACAAGACTAGAGCATGCATGCATTTTGGTTCCAACTGATAAAAATATCACATGAAATTTAATTCTTGTCATGGCACTAGTACTACTCTTGTTCATTGGTTGTTCTCTGTTTGTCCCCCCGGCCAGTCATGGCGTGCCATGTCATACAATTCGGGGTTTGCCATAATTCACAGATGGGTGCTAAGGGAAATACCCAAAAGTAATTAAATATTCTGGTTTTTGTCTGTTACAGACCATAGGCATTTACAGTTGTATTCAGGTAAAACCAGACTACCAAAAAACAAAAAAAATTCAAAAACTAATTTCCTTTAGCTACATTAAGGACACAAATACAAAATACCTTAAATATTGATAAGACTAAATTAAATAAAATAAAAATAAAGCAAATAAAATGATAGAATTTCCATGATTCAGCTATGAGAATCTTTTTTCCATGTCCATTGGAAAGAGAGTTATAATAATATTATTTTCAACTGATGATAACATTTTTTACAACAATATTTATAGATTTTTAGAAATATGATAAATTACATCAGATATCATTTTTATTTCAAGATAAAGTAGACTAGATCTAATTCTTGGCTCATTTTTTGGTCAATAAAGATTGCGAATCATTTTTATTTCAAGATAAAGTACACTAGATATAATTCTTGGCTCATTTTTTGGTCAATAAAGATTGTGAATCAAAACTAGATAAAATTAGTAAATAACAAATCTATTAATATTAAGTCCAATCAGATAAAAGGGGTTTCCAACCCCGAGTTTTGCTAAAATAGCATAACACTTGTAAAATTAATCTGAAGTCATGGGTTTAACTAGGAACCCTCTTCCACCTCCCCAGCCTAAAACTCTTATTAACTTAGGCCTATAATGTGTATGTGTATGTATATATATATATATATATATACATATATATAAAATCATTTCTCATTGCTTAGTAGAAATGGTAATAGGTAGAGAGTGAATACAAATGTATCTATATACATCCTGCTTAATAAATCTGTTCACATTCTTGTCCTCATCCTCGTTTCTATCAAATAATATTATATTTGTCCCCAAATTTGTATACACATTTGAACATAATTCATTTTTTTTTAAAACAATGAGGAGATAAATAATTCATAATCCTCAAAAATAACAAAAATATTAAAATTATATCCCAATATTTTTCAAACTAAATAAATTATGGTTCAAATATTATTACTTAACAAACTAAATTCACAAAAAAATATCACTTAAGTGTAAGTTTTAATATATAAATATATAATATAATATACCAATTACGGAATAAGTTAGATATTATAATTTCCGTCTCTGGATAAAATTTTACAAAAGTTTTCAAATCCATCCCTATCTTTATTTTATAGTATCCATAATCGGTTCGGATCGAGTAAAATTGTGGCTTTTAGCTGTTGTTCCCCATAGCCTTCTTCACCGAATATGTTGTATGCTTTTGGCTAGGATCATGCATGTTTAGTTTATTGACTTATCTATTTACGCTAGGTCTAGGTTCCTTTTGTGCTTGCTCAACTTTTTTTCATTATAGAAAAGGGAGATACCAAATTTAAACTCTTTATAAGTTTTTTTCTCGCATATGGATGGAATCAACCGCGTGAGAGAGGGCACAGTAAAGAGTACAAAATATTCTTTTTCCATCAGGAGAATATAGAAAAAAAAAGTAAAGGAAGGAAATTCTTTTAACTCGATGGCAATGACCATACCATGACACCCAGATCCCCAGTTGATTCGGTTGTATGCGTTAGCAGCATGAAAAGTAGAGAATAGTTGTTTTTGTAGCTCAAGGAATAGTCATACCAGATGCTTTAGCGAGGAAACCTCTCCTTGATCCTTAGAGAGACATTGGCAGGTGAAAAAAGAAATGAAACAAGGGAGAAAAGTTATAATTTTCTCTCTTTGCATGCAAATTTGGCAAGGCACTCATCATTTTCCAGCTCTATATCCTTCTCAACACAGGCAGACTCCCTTTTTGTTTTTGATTTTTTTTTTAGGGTAGCAATTTTCGTGCTTATTTTCCTACTTCCTTTTCTCCTTCCCTACAGTGGAAAAGTTGGCGGTTCTAGCTACATTAATTCCACAATCTAAATCAATCAAGATACTCTAATAGATATTTTAATGTAGTTCTAAATTGCATTTAATTTAAAATGTAACTGTCACATGTTAATATAAATTTAGCCAAGCGGGTGAGCCTTCTACTGAGAGGTTTCAATTCGTCTTGTTTCCATCTCAAGGCTTGCACACTTCTTTATAACCAAACTAAACACACACACACACACACACACACACACAGAGCACACATCACTCGTCATTTTGTTAAAAATCCAATTGATAGACTAATATAATTTAAAAAATTTACTTAATCCAATCAGTATACTACGTGCAGGATAATCCTGTTTCTCTTCTTTTTAGGTTGTAAATACCATGCTTAATAGGAAGGAATGGGTTGACCCAAAAGCTATTTTATCCAAAGTAGCAATTTAAAAGTGTGAGTGCCCAGTGCAATATATTCAGGTACAGTGGTACTCGTGGGCTGGCCTACATAAATTCAAAGGACTGAAACAAGCTGAGCACGTCCCGTATGTGTTACCTGCTTAGCAGGACATGGACTTTGGTACTTCCTTTTCATAGCCCTGAAAAGCTTCTTAAATTAACTCTAGGTATAACCCCTATTCAAACAAGTTCAATACGCACCTTGTACTTCCTCTGGTTCTGAAACTGTCTGGATTTATTTTTGAAAACAAAACCCTATTTGGCTGGTTGTTTGGTAAACTGCTTTCCACGAGGGCTTTAGAATACAAACCCATATATCTAAAAGCAAATATAAAATTCTGCTTTCAAAATTTACATAATCTACTGTTGCTCCAAACGAAAACTATACCAAAAAAAAAGAGTTTTCAAGATTTTCAGTGTTTTCTGTTTGCCTAAACACTGAAAAATAAAAAATAGCATACAAATCCAAACAGGGCCGCATAGAATGTGAAGATAAAAGTCATTGAAGGATCATAGTGATGGTTTTTTCTATAGAAGTAGCATAATCCCACCCTACTTACTGCTAGATAAAAGGCGAAGACCGCACATGGCATTGAGTTTTCTTGACTTGTTGCCAAAGTATCCTCCATGCAACTCCAATATATAAAGATATCTAGTTACAATTAGTGCATAAAATGAGTACAGAGACGCAGGTTTTAGATTCAATTAGTGCAATAGTTGAGGATGCAAGTTCATATTTTAATCAAATAACATAAGTAACGCCAGTCCTGTATTTTGCCAAAGATTGCCTACATGATTTATATATACCACGTTCTGCCGCCAAGGACTTTTCAAATAACCACACAATAAATGATACAACAGCATAGTTGAATAGTTCAATCTGGGATGTACAGTTTCTGCGGACAAAGGGAACAGATTTCTTTCTTTCCTGTTTCCAGCTTCCTCTGTATGGGAGATGCAGTTGCAGTGAAATCACAATACTTTGTTGAAGCATAATCACCTTATTTAGCATTTCTAACTATTCTGTTCCTCAAGTTTGTGTGTGCTAATTTTAACATTCACCAATTGGGCAGCTGCACGGGCAGCGGCTGTTGCACGCTCTGCAGCAGCTAAAGCAGCACGGGCTTGCTCCAACACATCACATGATTGTGGCTGTTGTTCGTTTCTTAAATCACTAACAGTTGTTGCTTTATCATTCTTAATTAGTGATCCCGTTCCTTCCTGATCAAATGAGGATGGGATACTGCTAGGACTCTGAGATTGGTGACATTCGGACAGTTCTTTCTTCTGTGCAGATACAGAAGGGTGTGTTTCATACAGAAGGGTGTGTTCAGTAGGGCCCTGTTTGGATGGAGCTTGATAAAGTGTTGTGCTGCCAGATACTTGCTTTGGTCCATTCTGCAGAACAAATTAAAAGGCCGTGATTGAATATATGAATGTATTTAATGTGGCAGAAAGAATCAAGGCCAGAAGGATGATGAGTTTTTCATTTTCCAAAAAATCATACATTAAGCATTCCCATAAATCACATGCTACCATAACCACGCAAGTCATGTGATATCAAAGAATACATCAGTTTCCCCATGATTGATGATGAATAACTTATGACTGATTAACCAAACACTGAAGGCTATAGCTCAAGTCCTTTCCCTGTGTATGCACTAGTGCGCATGTTGGGTGTTGTGTGTTTTAATATCTAGGACAAAGATGAATACACGAAAAACGGACAGGCTTTTACGATTCTATGTTAACACACCACGCCAACATGGGCTAAGATACAGGTGTCAGATGTAGATTCATGCCCAACATTGGATTCCATCTAATCCTCAAGGCCAGGACACAGAAGAATATATTAGTCTTTCACTATTTTCTCATATGTTATAGAATAACATGCTGTTTAGAAGGTGTTATGAAGTATTTCATGCATATAAAAGCTATATGCTCATTTATGCCATGAACTCAAATTATGGAACACAGACATGATGGAGAACATCCAGAAACATGTATCTCATGTTTATACAAGTGTCACTTGGATACATCATGACGCAGAAGAGTCCATGTAATTTAATACAAATATAAAAGACGAGTAATTCCAGAAAAAGACAAGTTGTAAAACCAGTTCCACTGAACTCTTACCATAATCAGCAACACTGATGACCTCCAACCCAACCTGGGTTGTGGGAATAAAGTGCTACACTGAGAATAACAACTAACCAAGACAAATTTGTGTTCTCATCAGAAGTGGCTGGTGATTATAGAATAACAAAAATGGCAGGCTAGTGCATGTGGCGATATATATATATATATATATATATTAACCCCTACAAGGGCAAAGACCTAAGAAGCATGTACCAACTTCAAGAAAATTAGGACATAGACATGGCAAAAAATTAAATTTCCCAATTTTTATGCTCATTAGATTTATAACTAGAACAAATTAAAATGACCAAAAATAACATAAATATCCAATAATCAAACTGATTTATTCTTGCTTAAACACCTGGACATGTGATTTGAACCCATGACACTGAGGTCATTTGAGTAACTATTACAGCTTCGATCCATCGTTATGGGAAAATATTCTATGAATATTTATATAAAACATCTAAAACAAATGACAGAAATTACCAGCAGATCCTCAGGCTTTTTACTAAATTCTGCTTCAGTTTTGGAGGAATCCCACTCCACATTGTACTCTTGTGCAATATCCTTCAGAACCTTGAGCTTTACTTCAGCAGATGGAGCACTGACAGAAAGTTTCTCAATTATCTATAGAAAAAATTATAAAAGAATTAAACAGAAGAAATCAGAAAGTTTGTTTCACAGTAATCATTGCTCCATGTATCTGTAATGAACATATATGTAAGCATGCGTTCTAGAGCCAATTAACTGTTCGGTTGACACTGGTATCAGGTTGAAGCTCAGATGCAGCTGCTATAAACTCCTTTCCATATTTTGCAGCAAATAAATTCCTGACTTGCAACAAGTCGGGTAAATCTGAACATCTGGGAGCTGCAAAGATTATGCTTGCAACAGCCTCACGCAAATCTGTTGGACACTCCCTGTCACATGGAAAAAGATATGACCAAAAATTGTCATGCATGCAAATCTCCTAATTGGTGGTTTATGTGCCGGCCATTCAAAACATGGGTGCAAAAGTATTAAAAAAAAAAAAAAAAAAAAAAAAAAAATCTGCCCATGGTACATGGATGAATGCTGTGTAAAACTTCAGGAGTGCACATATAATAACACTTGAATCTCCCAATCATGAAACTCATCAAAGTAATAAAATTTAGGACTCTGGAATGCAGTTCATTAAGGTTTTTCCAACACCAATTGACCCGGAGAGAGAGAGAGCGAGAGTATTTTGGAAGAAATCTACCAAACTTCTAGTTAGTGGGAGTACTCATATGACCTTTCCAACAAACTTTCTTTTTGACTCAGCCAAGGCAGGATGTTAATTGGGCATTTAGCAGGTGGCTGTCAACTGGTAATAACAAACATTCCACAATTTATTATTTATTTTCAAAGCTCAATTTTGAGCTTTAAATTTCCAAAAGATAATAGCTTTAGGTAGGACCCTCCTTAGTAGTTCTGAACTAGAATGGGAGAGCTAATAGACTCATTTGGTAATAGTAATTGTGCGAAAAAGTGTGATATTAGAAAAAGTGAAACAAAGAAAAGAAAAGAGGGCAGAGCAGTTGTGAGAAAAAGCAAGGGTTTTATTTATTTTTCTCATCATGCAACCTCATTTCCTTTCAAGATACACATATCTTCCTTACTTTGGTTCCATGAGAGTTTAGTTCTTTTGTTTATCATCTTTTAAAAAGACCAAGTTTTGCAATATAACAGGCTGGGTTCTTCAAGGCAAAATTGGATTTCAACATTGAAAAGATGATTTCGGGGTTGCCAACACATTTCTAATTCTTGATGCATGCCTCTGGCAATAAACTGAAACCAAGGGGAAAGATGAAAAAGAAAACATGATAGCTTACATTCTGTGATCCACTGAACACTGCAAATCAGCATCAGCCACAGACAAATCAATCAACACTAGAAGGCAACTAATGAGCATTTCTAAAGAACATAACAGAGAAAGAGCACTTTCAAGCATTAAACTTCAGTTAGCTCATAACAAAGTTCCATTTTATTCAACTGGAGGGTGCATTCACTTGCAAAGTGATAAAAGTTGCATCTATTAAGGATATACTAACAGAAAACAGGTTAAGATGGTTTAGACATATAAAAATAGACTTATGAGTGCTCCAATTAGGACAAGCAACACTAGTTAATTTTATAGTTAAAATAGAGAACACAGTAGACCAATATTGACTAGCATCAAAATATAAAGGAAGACTGAGCTGATATGGTTTAACTGAAGATATGCCATATAACAGAGCAGTGCAGAGCAGAGACATAGCATTCATGCATCTCTTTGTGAAAAGCTTAACTGAGTGGGGTGAGAAACAAAATTTCTTAAATTGACACAATCTACATCAATGGCAACTAGTGCTAACATTTATCATGCTTCTTGAACAATATTTTCAAAATGAAAGTAATTGTTGTTGCGATGAAGCTAGTGGATTGTATGGCATAATGCATTCCAAAAAGGTACTTCCAATCTTTTGAGTCTAGATTTTGGTGCCCTAATTAATCCTAAAACATGAAAGACAAGCACCAGTCAATAAAACAATATTTGCAATAACTATTAAACAAAATTTTTACATATTAATTGAAGCATGAGCAAACTTCTTGAGAATCAAAAGAGAATTGCTGAACTTGAATTTATTTAATTTCCTTTCAATAACAAAGGGTGAAGCTTGCTTGAATCTAAGAAGCATGGATACAAATATGGAAATGCCTACTTGACAATTACGAGAAAGCACATCAGAAGAGAAAAAATATATTCTTGAGTGAAAGAATCACAGATAGTAACTCTCGAGAATTTGAAACCATAACAATCACATCCTTCATAATCACATAAGATGGCCATTACTCGAATTTAATATTTCTGTGCAGCTTTGACAAAAGCTAAATCATGTTTAACGTAAAGACACATGAGTGTTTCGGACAGACATGTACTTGTCACAAGACTGTAAAATATAAATAAGAAAAAGGGAAATAGAAAACAGAAAATAGACATGCTCCATTGATGTGTTCAACATGTATCTCAGCATTTCTCTTAAGTATTCAATGTAGACACATGGTGGACACAGAAAACATACACAAAATATCATGTCTATACTTTCTAGGCCTGATTAGGTAACTCAAAGTCTACAAGAAAATAAACACTAAGGTTTTTTTCGGCAATAAATGACATATTTGTTCATAGCTAAGAATCAATAAATGTAGCTTGAAACCAGATTGATGAGTTATACTGATAAATAAACCAAGTTCAGCACAGCGGTTTGGGTTGGCTCAATAGGGCTTGTTGTAGCCCTAAACATAACCAGCGACTATAAAATATTGCTAAAATTTCATACCATAAACTGCTACCTAGGCAATATTTTCAAGGAAAAAAAAGGCCATGAGAAATGAAGCAGATTATTGTTTGTAAGAGTATAACCACGCATGGACCAAATTTTAAAGATTGCAAGTGCTATGCTATATGAAGTCTATGGAAGATCCAACATAAGAAACAAAGTTTTTATAATATAAAATTCAATAGCAGCGATAAGTTCAACTACCTCTGGCTTTCAAGAATGGGTACACGCGCAAGAATGAATTCACAGAACATCTCCAAGATTTCATATGCAGCCCATATGTTTTCCTCTCTTATAACATGCTCCACCTAAATCAGTTTAGACACACAAAATAGTAGGTATACGTCTGACAATTCACAAGCGACAGCAAGAAAGTGTAAAATTGGATGAAAAAGCACCCGTATTCGAGCAATGGCTTCTTGGCCAGCGTTTAGAAACTGGGCTATCTCCTTGCGCATAAGCTTGAGCTGCACATCTCTTCTGTTTTGCAGCAATTTGATCCGCGAGATTGCCAAGTTCAAGCACGTTTTACTACGAAAGCAAGTAACCAGAATCAACAGGAAGGACAAGAAAGAGTCGTCAAAATGACGGAATAATTTTAACAAGGACTATAAAAATGAATTTTAATAAAGTACTTCCTCAGCAAAAATAGTATACTTCATCCACAAAATCTAAGAATATAATGAGTGTGCACACGTAGAAGAGAGAGAACCGAACAGGGTACAAGCCGTTCATCGGATTGCATCTGCCTAACTTAAAAATTCGATCTTGAATGTGAGCTCACAATCAGAAGGACAACCTCCAGTGATCAAATAATGGATATATAACAAGAGTCGAGTAATGTTAAATGAGATCAGAGAAAAATCAGTCAAACCAAACTGGGGGTTCTACCATATTGATTAAGGAACTGAAAATAAGGTGAGCACAGCTAAGGTGCAACTAACCACTTAGCGCCGAGAAGGCCTCTGTTGAAGAGCTGGTTCAAAAGCGACATCCACGCCGGGATTGGGAGGATGGCCTCTGCAATGAAACGTCGAAAATCTCGATCTCTGCGATTGTTGACGCAAGAAACGGCAGTCTAGGGAGAAGAATACGCTCCAAAATTTGGTACAATTAGACTTGTGAACAAACAAGCTCAGCAAAAATCAGAGTGGCGCAGCGGAAGCGTGGTGGGCCCATAACCCACAGGTCCCAGGATCGAAACCTGGCTCTGATAAAAGAGAGCTTCCGCATACACTTCTTTGAGAAGGGTTTTCCGTAAAACAATCCTCCTCCTCCTCCTCTCTCTCTCTCTCTCTCTCTCTCCCCCCCCTTTTTTTTCTTTTTTTTTTCCCTGTGATGGTTTTACTATATAGGGTAATATTGGCATCCTGAGTTGCACCAATAATGGCACTAGTTAATGTTAATTTTCATGTCTATTAACAGCCTGTCTTCAGTGGATTAAGCCAAACAATTCTAACGAATGACCATTTTTTTAATGTGCACTTATTTCTGCAATTTTTCCTTTCCATGGCGGTTCTTTTTTTCGGGGACATAATAAATAAGCACAGGTCAAGCCTTGAAGACCACCAAAAGAGAAAAAAGCAGTTCAGGCTGCACGTAGAAATAATCCAGCCATCAATTTCTTTGTTTCTACAAGCCGGTTTCGTTGGATTGCTATCTGTTGACGTCCCTATTTCCAACCCCAGGCCTCTTCACGAAAAGCATGTAAAATGCAGGAGAAAAGAAAACAAAAACAGAGAGAAATAAGAATGGTTTGCTCACGAATTAAATCAGTAAAATTGGAGTTTAGGTAAAGATAAAATGTCTTTGCCTCCTTGGTTTGGCTAGGGTGTAATGCTCTCTGCATGTTGTTTGATATGTTTAATTATAATAAAAAAAATATCATAGATTTTTAAATTATATCCATAAGAAATTAGTTTATTTAAAACAAATTAAGTTCTAATTACATATATAATCCGTTCAAGCCAGCCTTTTGAGCTATCTGTTTGCATAAATAATGTATCACATTCTGGTTCCTAAATATACCTGACAGAGTGGCAATGAAGCGGGGCCACCATATTAATCCGCCAAGACAATACACCAGTTCACCAAAGCAATGAACGGCTAAAATCCGTTGCTAAAAGAAATTATTATTGTCACTGTTTTATGCTTAGTTCATTACATAGCTTTTTTATGGAAGGGAACCAAGAAAAGAAAACAAAAGCAACTTCAGCCAAAGATAGTAAGCAGAAAAATAGATAGGTGACTCTAATTAGGACAAAGAACAACTGGAAAACCCCATTATAGGAGCCAATTACAACAATGGAGGAACTTTTCGTGGTATAAATGAATGACTATCGTTTAATTGAGCACCTGGAGTCAAGCCACGAAATAATATCATTAAGAACTGTAAGTATTCTGTCATCAGGTTCCCCTTCCAAAATACAGTGATAACCATCTTCATAGATCTTTAGAGTCTTGTCCTTGCTCGAAGATTTCTCATACAGAAACTGGCTCACCAAGGGATCCGTCACTTTATCAGCAGCTCCGTGAAGAATAAGCAATGGAGAAGATACCTGAAAACATTAAGTTGGTTTCAGAATTCTCAGAAACCATTTCCACCCAGAAAAGGAACAACATGGAAACAATACAGGTAGGTTTCAACAAAACCAATAACAGAAAACAGTAGACAGAATTCAAATCCACATAGACCCTTAATTTCATCGTGGAACCTAAGGTACCCCTAGTAGTAAAGATAACAAGAGGAAGAGGGCGATTATAAAAAGGACTGGTTGAGAAAAGAATGATATATGTAAACTAACCTTCTCCACATTTGATTCAATATACTTTGTAGTCTTCAAAAGCTCCTCGGCAGTCTTCAAGCGCATTGGATCAGAGTAGCATATGACATTGTAAGGAGCCTAAGAGAGATGAAGCAACTGAGAAATATTTCCTAGAAAATAAAGATATCAATTTGAGGTGTGAAATCTAATTAGAGCACTCTTGTCATTGGACATCAAGTTTCCTTAATGCCAGCCGCTGGTTCCTCAGATGTTAAATTGCACAGGTCTATAGAGTGTGTTTCTCATCAAAAAGTCAAGCATGTTTGCTGCCCAACATACTTTCATAATAATTAATGCATCCTTCTCACCTTATGTCTTGTCCTCTAAAACAAAATCATCCATGTAGTCTACCTCCAATTCTCTTGCCCAGAGTCATAAAATTTTTAGAAAGTTCACTGATGTTTCATTTCCTGCTATATTCAATATGAATTACCTTCATCACTATTTTACAGTCTGAGTACTGCTATTAGAATATTCACAAGCAGCAAGAGAGGAAAGGGCATGGAATTTGAAACTATTCGAAACCAATTCTGCTATTGCACCTTAGGTTAGGGTGGTGAATATGTCAACTGATTGGAACTAATGTAGGTAAGAAAGCGTCTGTCTGTTAAAGGAAAATTTACAATGGATAGGAACACAGTATTCCAGATTTCGCAGAGAAGCTGAAATAGGCATTTCATTTACAAATACATAGTGACTTTTCTTGGATCCTCATGTCCCATGCATGGCCATTCTTCTAAGGCATTCAATTTTTTCCCAGCTGCAAGCGACGCATCAATCAATATTCTTAAAGACCTAGCAAAAATGCTATGATGGTGCAAAAGCCTGCAGGTATGAGCTCTAAAATGAGGGCAGTAAAAAATCCTGTTATTCAAAACCTCAAAACCAAAGAGTAGCTTATTCTGTGGGAAAGCAATGTTTTTTGTTTAGATATGAAGGATAATCAAGTAGAGAAAATGACATGAATTTAGAGGAAATGCATGCTTGTCATCAGTGACATAACATGAGCGTCAGGGGCATCAAACTGTAAACCAGCCAGTATACATTTTTGCATTTCTCCTATACCCTGAGTTGGTTTTTAAAGTGCTCATACTGGGTTTATAAGATCTGGAAGAACACACATCAATTTTCAGAAAGAATCCCATTGTTTTCTCAAACTAAAGGAGAAAAATGGTCTCCTTACCAATTATCAATGAAGTCATGTATGCATAATAATAAACAAAGAACATACCATTTTCCTTTTCTTTAACTCTCTGAACGCAAGCTCAGCTAGATCTTTCTGTGGTACAAGCTTTGCTTTTGGCATAACTTTAGATAAATATGTTATGCCCTTGACAACAAGTTCTGGTGGAGTCACGTCCTCTGAAATCTTGTCAGCAAGACAAGGTCAACAAATTTTTATTACTAAAAGTATAATTACATTGCAAATACAAAATTTTGGTTGCCCAGGATAATTATCAAATATTAAAAGAAATCATACTCACTGTACAAAAAACACTTCATTTGAAGAAACCTGATGCAGAAATCTTATTGTATACTAAGCATTTAGATAGTACACAAATATATCAAACATGGAATAGGAAGAGAAATTTCATTATAGAGAATTTATTAAAAGTAGAGATGCCCTAACCATCTTTACCAGTTAAACTATATATGGAAAATCCAATAAGAATGTCCATCCTAGATAAATCCAAAAAGAAGATTCATTTAACCCATAGGTGTTCAAATGCTATGAATGCTTCAAGTCAAGTTCAAGCCAAATCTGCTCCAAACTTAATCATTTATACCAATGTTTATTCAGTCAAGTTTTTCAAGCCATGAATTCAAAGTAGCAAGGTACAAGAAGTATATTAATATATCACGATCTTTCGTTCAATATTTCAAGAAATTTGAATATTGCTAAAAGTCAAGAATGGCAAAATAATCTATTCAAACAATGTGGCCTATGGAAGAATGCACGTATTTGACTAATTACATGGTAGAACCAGGTATAGAGGATCTCATGAGATTCACACAAGTTCAACAGAAATTTATGGCATTCCTCACAACTTCTAAAGAGGTTTACCTTACACATTGGGCTACAAGCACGATTCCATCCCAATCACGTGGTTCTTTTAGATGGACTTTGAGAGCCACAGCTCCTCCCATGGACTGGCCTAATAAAAAGCGAGGCAGCCCTCTCACTTCAGGTCTACCTGTAAGCAGCAATACAAGTTCATATGAAAAAAAAATGCATAATCTAATAATTCAAAGTTGCAGGTCAATATTGAAATGGAGAAGAAATCCCTCTTATGGTTTCATCAGGAATGTTTATCCTGAATGATCCTCCAAGTTTATAAGAACAATGTTTATTTTCTTTGAGATTAATAAAATAAAAAAAAAGGAAAAAAGTGTTGAGTCACACTACTGAATATTGTTTTCTAAAAAGCATATTAAAAGTCATTGTGAATGATGGCAACAATTTGTGAACGTATACTAAGAGGTAGTTTCTAAGACACACCTTTAATTTTTGTGTACTGTTCAATAACATTGTCAACTATACCATCAAAGCTTGGGATGTAACCATGCAAGCCTTCAGATAAGCCAAAACCCGGATGATCGACAGCATAAATGCCATAACCAGAAGCAGCAATATGCTTGGCAATACCTGAAGCCCAAAATACTCTCTATGTCATTAGAGTTGGCCCACTTGTGCTGATATATCAAGTGCTATTACCATCTCAACATCAATGTAATTCTAGAAAAGATTACGATGAAAAAACCTAATCACAGACCTTCAAAGAAGAAAGTGCATGTATCACCATATCCATGACAAAAAACACAAGGCACCTTTAATCCGAACACCTGGTTTTGGCAACCAACTTTTGCAAAAAATTTCCTGTCCTTTTGAATTCCTCTCATACCACTACATGCCCATAAAGAAATTCATCAGCAATTAAATTAAGTAAAAAATAATGAATCACTTTGTCAAGCTTACAATTCGGTTGCCGAGAAACCAAAAGAAAAACAGTAACTTTGTTTTGATTATTATTTACGCAACTACATTTCTCAGCAAATATAAAGTCAATTCAACTGAGCATCAGCTCTATTTTAGTAATTTCTCAGCCACAAATCGAGACATGAATATAACATATATTAAAATCCACCGAGATCATATGCTCAGGAAAGGTTTCAGAAATAACATGACATACCTCTTCCTCTCTGATCCCAGGAGGAGCCATCTGCACCATATCGTGGCACAACAAAGAAAAATAAAAACTTAAATCGAGTTGAAAATCAACACCGGAACTTCAATAAATTTCAATTCACACAATCGAATGGGAATCGGGAGCAGAGACAAACCTTGAATAAGCAATGATCTAGCTGCTGCTGAACTTCAGTGAAGGCCGATCGAACGCGCCTGCGAGCGGGAGCAAAGGCCAAGTTCTGCGACGCGATCGCATTCATCTCGTCGCTGACGCCTTCGATCACTGTCCTTTTCCTGGCTGTTATCTTCAAGGAAGTCCTCGGGAGGCGACAACCCGCAACTTACTCGGACTTTGTCTGAGAATGCAGGTGCCATATTCCCGGCGAAGCCGGGAATATTCCGGTGGCCGGAAAGTGGACGGCAAACAAAGTTCCATCGTCTTTCACTTCCAGCGTCAGCACACGAGAAGAAGTCATTGGCACATTCTGGAAAAGGCGGGGGAGATGGTTTGGCCATTGGGCTACGGGTAAGAGGTGTTCCGCAGACTAAATTAAATTGATTATATTATATAAATTAATCAAATTTTATAAAATTAAATCAAATTATAAAATATAATTTAATTTAAATTTTATATTTAAATAAATCGTATAAATTAAATTAAATTATATAATTTATATATATAATTAAAAATTTTATTTTTATATATATAATATATTTTTATTATTTAATTATATATATTTTTTGTTATCTTTTATATTTATATTTATTTTAATAATTAATTTTTTTAGAATATAATTTCTATTAGTAATAGTAAAATTTTATAAAATAATATAAATATATTTATTATAAAATGTATAACTATTATAATTAATTAATAAATAATAAATTTATTAAGCTAAACATTTTGATAGATGATTAATTTTTAGAAAAATTCTATTAAAATTTTTATACAAATAATGAATTTAATATATTTTATTTTGTAAATCACGTACCATAATTTGAAATAGAACCAAACCGTAAACTATAGTTTAGTTTAATTTATAAAAATTATAAAACGTAAAATATGATTTAATTTGAATTTGAATAACAAACTGAACCACAAATACCATGTTCCGGGCATTGGTCAATGATCTGGTCAAAAGAATGTGACATTTATTCATCCAGTCAAAACTATTACAGAATAAAAATTTGATAATTAACCAACATGCTATACCTAGTAATTTTTTTTTACACTTATTTTGTTTATTTTTAAATAAATGAAAAATAGAAACAGGAAAGTGAAAGATTTGGGAAGGGGTTACCAACATTTATAAAACTTTTACAAAAATAAAATTTATATTATTATTTGGTAAAAGAAAAAGGGAAGGAGGAGGAGAAAAGGACCATAAACCTTATAAAAACAAACTAAGAAACCTTAATATAAGACTGGATTTGATCGCGAATCATTTTAAGTTCACAGCACAAAATGTCAAAGGCAACCCTTTCCTTGGTTTAGCTGAGCCTAAATTACATATATGGGCCTTCACAATTTCAAGCTCTTAATTTGACCCCTTGATTCATAATTTTAAGAACCAAGTATCTCTTCATTTGTTAATTCATTGCCATCCTACCCCGTGAACCGCTTAAGGCCTATTTGATGCAAACTGGGTTTGTTAAAATCTGCTCTTCATCGATAACTTTCTATTTTTGTTTTCTTCTTGTTCTGCTTTCTTCTACTGCCATCGCATCTCCTTCTTCGACTGTCATGAACTTCTCGTATGGCAAGTTATTTCTCCTTGTCCTTTATTACCGCTGTCACAAGTGCCTTTCAAGTAACCATTGATTTTGACGATCAACGGCAGATTTAAAAGCAGAGGAAGCAAATTTGACGCAAAAAGCAGTCAAATCCCACTTGAGTAAAGAGTGAAAAGCGAGAAATAGAAGCAGATTTAGCACTGATGGATGGAGGATTAAGGAGTTAAAAACAGATCTGGAAAAAGGATGCAGAGGGCAAATTAATCCCCTACTTAAAACACAGATTGGCTAAACCCCGGCTTTTAGAAAAAAAAAAAAAAAAGAAAAGAAAAGAAATCAGATCTTCCAACCGAGGGTTAAACCCTCAAACTAGAATTGGTCTGCTCTTTTAACACCAACCACCACCCCCCCCCCCCCCCCCCCAAAACAAAAAAAAAATAGTCCGCTGTAAATTTTATAATCCATCTCAATAATGGGGAACGTGTCATTGAGATAGAAATGAAGTCTGGAAGTTGGAGAGTATGGAGTGATAAAGAATGGAGAAGTTAAAAGTGGAAGCAGGACAGGACTGGAAATGTATGTCCTTTTTTTTTTAACAGAGGTAAATATCACTTTTTATGTTTACAAAAATTTGATAATTAGTCCAAAATCTTTCATTTTTTATATTTGGCTCCTATTCCATCTCTCACCTTCACTACTATTTTTTCAATGCAAACAAAACAAATATAAATATTATATAGTTGTTTGAAAATATTCGTTATTTGAGCTTCCTTGATTGCAACTGCATGAATGTGATCCGGTCTTTATTATGAAAATAAATTGGTAATAGAAAAGTAACCACCCAAAATGAAAATATTTTGTTTTGGCAAAATTACTGATGAGGATAGTTTTATAATTTTAATTACTTGAATAGTTAAAATATAAAACATTTTCATTTAGGTTTGAAAAAAATATAAGTGAAGAATATTTATATTTTCAAATAACAACTATAATTGTCACGAGTATAAATCTACATATTACAAATATGAATTTGTGTAATTATAAATATGTATCGGTGTATTTAGAAATCTTAAAATAACTACACAGACACATACTTATAATTATACAGATTTATATTTATAATTACACATATTTATATTTGTAATTATACAAATTTATATTTGTAACGGTTGTAATAAGAGGGATAGATTCATATTTATAATTATACATATTCATATTTGTAACAGTTGTAATAAGAGAGATAATTTGAGAATACAAATATCATTAATGGATTTTTTTTTTCTGAACTTGAATAACAATTGTAATAAGAGGGATAACTTCAAAATATAAATATATTTAATCAACAATTTTTTTTCTTTTTGACCCATAATAGAAATATTTTATATTTTGACCACCTAACTCATTAATTTCACCAAACTGTCTAATTTGTTAATTTTCTCTTTTTATTTTTTATATAATACCACTAATTTTGGGTTAATTAAAGAAAATTAAAAATTTGAGGGCTTAATTGAAAGAAATACAAATTTTTATGAGTTAATTGAAAGGATAAGGGATACAATTGAACAAATTGAAACTTTTGGGGTCCCAAATGAAAATAATACTCAAGAACTAGATTTGCACATAATCAAGAGTTTGGGGGCCAAATCAAAAATATTAGAAAATTGAATTTTTGGTTTATCTTTAACCTTCTGATTCTGCAGCCGAAGTTATCAAATTCAAGCAAATCAGAGGAGATTGGCTCGAAATTTGGCTATATATATGTGCAACGTCAGTGAAAAAACAAAACGCCAAAACAATTTCTTCAAATCGATTCTTAATTTTCAAAATTCCTCTAGCTTTTGCCCATCATTATTGACTGAGCTTCAATCAAAAATTGAGTCAATCAAGACTGTTCCCGACCAATCAACCATCATGCCATCATCGTCTGTCCATTCCAACCACCATTATAAGGTTAAATTGCAGAATCGGGAAGAAATTTTGAGGTAATATTTTTGACTTAACTTATTTGGGTGATTTAGGTTTTCTAGGCTATTCGAGTGGAGAAGAACACACTCGAGAAGGGTCCGGGTCAGCAAGTGAACTAGGTCAAAGAGCTAGGTCTTGGCTGAGGGTTTTAGGCTTTTTGGATCTGGGCTTGGGTTTAGGGGCGATCCCTTGATTGACTAGGTTAATGGTTTTTGGTTTTTGGGTTAGGCCTATAGGCTTGACCAAACGGGTTAGACCGGGTTAGGTGTTCAGGTTTGGGTTTCAAAAGTAGATCCAGATCCTGGATCAAGATTAGAAAATAAATAAATGAATAAATAATAGAAAATTTGGAAAATTTGGCTGGTTCAGGGGATTAACCATTAGTTCACTCCTGGTTCAAGACGTAATAGGTTAATTTAACACTTAAACCAATTGGTTTAATGCTAGTTTACGGTTAATACATCCGGTTTAAGCCTAAAACCATTGAATTAGTTTTTTAATCACCAGTTCCATGACATATTAGATTGGTTCAGTGAATTAAAGATTGTTTTGTATATAAGTAGACCGGTTCTGTGTGTTTTATGTCTGGTTCAATAGATTTCAAACTAGTTCTCTACATAAATAAAGTCGATTTAGTGCAAATACAGCTAGTTCAGTGAGTTATAAGGTCGGCTCTGTACATTACAAGACGGTTTAGGGCCGGTTCAAAGCTTTACAGGCTGGTTCAAGGCTAGTTCAGTAACCTAGTGGCTGATTCATGTCCGGTTCAACACTCTAGTGACCTATTCAAACCGGTTTAATACTTTAATAATTGGTTTAGTGGTTAAATAAATTGATTTTATATTTTATGAGATTGGTTCAAGACTTTAGTACTCGATTCATGATTTATTTGATCTGATCAGGACTTTAGTAGACCCAATACAAGTTTTAGACACAAAAATCTAGAATTTTACTTGGGTTTTAATTGAAAATTAATAATTATTCGATTCTTAAATGCATTAAAAACTTAAAATAAGATATTTTATTATTTTTATGATTTCAAATTCTTTGTACGGTTCTTGTCGAGCCCATATATCACCAAAATCAGATCGCTCTACTCCCATCAGTTTTATGTGTAATAATAATATTTATTTATGAGTATTAATGTTTTCCATATATGTTAAAATTCTAATTTTTATATGATTTATTATTTTGATGCGTTTGCTTCAAAAATTGAATTAAATTTATTATAAATACTTAACAAGGGACATGTATATAATTTTTAAAATTATTTTGAAAAAAACTATATGTTATTGACTTTCAATTATGTTTATATCTATAAATAGAAAATCCTGTTAAATTATTTACATTTATTTATGAAAAATTATTTTAAGGGAGATTCGGATTGTTAGAACATTGTAACTAACTATAGTAGGAGTTAGACTAATTGCACTCTAAACCATTTCCTAAGTTAGCAGTGATGGTACTAGATTACCATGTTAGGCCGATATGGAAGATCTGTATATCTATATATTGACACACTAAGATGTCGTCACCTAATTTCTGTTATCACTAGATTATGAGGTCACCACCTAATTTTTGTTATGTTCTGGATCATGAACTTCCTAAAATTCTGGTTAATTGTTAAATTCTATTTTTTGAAAAGTCATCTGTTACATTTGTTATACCTGTCCTTTATTCTAATAGATGCATGTTATTATTTAGTAGGTCTATTGACTCACCCCTTATTATTTTTAGATTCAGAAT